TTAAATGAAAATTTCAAAAACAAAATAGATGTGACATGTAACACCCTAAATTTTGGGCTAATAGTTTTGGGTTTACCCAAGAAGTAAGTAGACTCTATAGATTTCATGATTTAAGTTATTGGGTTTAATTGTGTTGGATTGGGCCCAATTAGCCATAAAATAGAGATTTTTAAATATGAGACAAAAAAACCAAAGACTAAAAGTGTAATTATACTATTAAAGGAATTTGAAGCTAACATTGGGGTTTTATATCAAGTTTCAAGTGGGTTCCCATTTCTTTTTCATCTTCTTCTTTTCTCTTCTTTCTTCCTTTCCTCTTCAAGTTCCTTAGCAAAGGTAAGATTTTGGGTTAATTTCATGTTTCATTTTCATTCTAAATCTCTTTAGCAATATTATTTTATTGAATCAAAGTATTGGGTTCTTTCTAGCTAAGGAAAAAGGTGTGAGTTTCATCCAAATCACCAAAAAATGTAGTGTGGCTAAGCAAGGAGGTTTATTTCAAGATCTAATCATTAAGGTAGTGTATTTCTAATCCTTTGGAGCATTAAGTTTTCATAAATCACAAGAAATTATTAAGATTTGTGGAGTTTAGCATTTATGGTTTCACTTTTGATTTATGCCTTAAATCATGAATTTGATGTTAAGTATGTGTTTTATGACACCTTAAAGCCATAAATAACTACCCATAACATTAATGCATGATTTAGAACCAAACTATGGCCTTTAAGATGAATTTTGAGTGTTTCACGAGCCTAAAATATTAGTTTATGGGTTCAAGTATCGATACTAGGATGAACAGTATCAATATTGGTTAAATTGGGGCAAAAATTAGGGTTGATGGGCTGGAGTATCGATACTGAAAGGGGAGTATCTTCGAACGAGGATGAATACGAATAGTTAGGATCAAAGATCGTTCTCGAGACATATGATAAACAGTACGATGATTATTTTAGATTCAGTGGTCGTAAAAAGTATGAGCTTCAAGAAAGTTAGTGAACCTAGGAAAAGTAAGCCGCCCTTTTCAGTTTAAGAAGTTCTGAAGGGAATTACGATAAGATTGAATAGAGTATCGCTACAAAAAAATGACCCAAGTCAGGTGTCAGGCTAACCAGTTCCTCAAATAAGAAATAAGTCTTTGTATAACGTTCTAGGTGAGAGAACGAGAGAGTTAGCAACTAGTATGACGTTGACTTCACCTTAGTGAGTACAACTATGTCAATGTGTACACAGGTTACCTTAATTGCCCTAGTGGAGCATTACTAGTAGGGTTGTTCATAAATGGTTAACTGTACCATTTAGCCTAAACAGTCGGTTAACCGTTATAATGTTTATGAGATTTTTCTAACCGTAACCTAATCATTAAGAAACAATTAACCGCTAATGGCTAACTGTTATTAACGGTTCGGTTGCAGGTTAACCTATTACAATTATTTGTCAAAATATGTTCATAATTCATACTACAAAAGAAATGTAGCACTTAACACATACTTACACCGATGTAACTGAATAAAATAAACAAGTGTAGCACTTAACACATACTTACACCAGTTTAAGTGAATAAAAAAAAAGTGTAGCACTTAACACATACTACACCGGTGTAGTGAATAAAATAAAAAAGTGTAGCGCTTAACACATACTTACAACGGTGTAAGTAAATAAAATAAAAAAGTGTAGCACTTAACACATACTTACACCGATGTAAGTATATACATCTCCCAATATCTTAGTACCTAACAATAAACATATAATTATATTGGTGTAAGTATGTTTCTATATTTTCAAAGAAATAAAAAAATTAAAATAATAAAAATATATATTAAACTATTTGTATACAAAAAACTTATTTACAAAATATATAAATTATACATAATAGAAACTTATTTTAAGTTATTTATGTAAAATTATAAAAAATTATAAATTTAATTATAAATTTAATTTATTAACGGTTAACCAACTATTAGTTGTTTATCAAAATTTGTAATTGTAACCTTAACCGTTAACCATCTTTTTAGCGGTTCGAATAACCGAAACCGTTTAGTATTAACAATTTGGTTAATTAACCTGTTAAATATAACAGTTATACTGGTTAACAGTTACGGTTAACAGTTTTAGTTTTTTTGAACACCCATAATTACTAGTACGCGAGGCACTTCAAGGGCAAACTAGGGTGCAAGACCTGAATACTCGCGAGGAGTGGGTTAGCAATGTCAGTATTATGTGGCCTATGGGCCTTAAATATGCATGGTTAGTAATGTCAGTTTTGTTGGGTAAGTTTTCGATGCACGTACATTCCGATTCTCACCTCTAGGCTTTTCCATATTCAATGTAGGTTGGGGTGCTCTCTAAGATGCACATTAATTCCTCCGACCACACCATCAGACCTATCCCATGTCTATTTATGCAGTCATGCATGTATATTCCCATCAGTTCATTATGTTAGATATGTTAAAGCTTGGCTTGAAGGCTATGTGAGACCAAGCCAATACTTCAGTATGTGCGGGAATTGTATCGATGCTATGTGACACCGGGTTCCCTTCAGTGATCTACCTGATGGCTATGTGAGTACCAGGAGATCATTCAATATGTTCGCTGGAATTACTCAGATGCTATGTGACATCGGGGTTCCCTCAGTAACCAGTGTCTTAAAGCTATGTGAGACTAGATTCTAGTTAGATTACATTCAGATAATGCACAAGGGTATCAGTGTCGCATTTAAATAACGCGTATCATGTTCAGTCGTTAGAGTTAGAGACCCTTTAGAGGTGTACTCATGATGAGGCCCTTATTATAGGATTAAATGAAGCGTGAGACACCTACTTCAATGATAGAGCAGTAAAGCATAAATAGGTAGCACTTGACCTAGATCATGTATGTACCTACTACTTAATACCATGTCTTCAGCATGCTTATGTTTATGAACTTCTTATGCTATTCTAGGTTAGCGATTATACTGCTGGGCTTTGTAAGCTCAACATTTAGATGTTTTCCGTTGGTAGGTCAGTAGCTTGAGCCGTTCGTGGAGCACCGTCGCAGCAGGACTTCTAACATATCTGACAGAGTACTATACTGTAGCTTTAGTGGGCATGTGTATTCATAGAACCTTACTATGTATTTGAGTTGTAAACTTCAGGTTGTATTATTTTGTTTTAAATTATATGTCACGGAGCTCTGATTTTTTTAAATGATTTTATATAAGTTATTTATGTTTTATTATGATACCATTCAGTATGTTTGAAAAATAAAAAGAACATGTTTTAAAAATCAAGGGTTGCTTCGGCAGCCCAATGTGACACTTTAGGCCTAATAGGGTTTAGGGTGTTACATGACATGTGTCATTTAACGAACTATTTTACGTCTGTTAGTATCTAGGCACTTAAATGAAAACGTTCATAATGTTAAACATCTACATTGAATGAAAAAAAAGTAGACACCTAAATGAAAAAGATATATAATTTGAGATTTTTTTATTAAACCATTTGATTATATAATTCCCAATACAATATAATTATATAATAGAAACATTAAGATTCACGATATACCTAGTCGTTTTCTTCATCCTTCTCTCTCTTCTTTTTTATCTTTACAACAAGTGTCAATTTTATTGATCAATCCAGGTTTTTCTTCTTTAATTTTGTTTAACTGGTGGCGATATCGGTTTTGATGATGGTGGTCTCCCGCTGATTATCTTTTTGTTTTGGTTTTTAATAAGAATAATTATGTCTTTGTGACATATTCTCTGCATTTATGACACGTTTTCTGCATTTATGACACGTTTATATCTGCTTTTGTGACACGTTTTTCTTTGCCTTTTGGTAGCTTACGATTTTTTGTGGTTATTTTTATCTTTTTTCTCATGGTTGTATTTGACATCGCCACGACTAATTAAGATGACGCTTATTTGTTATCATGATGATCTTCCTTGCTTTGGACCCTCGGATTGATTTGGATACGTGTTTTGCGTTCATGGATAGTTTTCTCACGTCGCTCAACTTTGATTTGCGATTTGTCGGTTGTCTTTAAGTAGCTTCATCCCCTTTTGTGGTTCGTTTGCCGATGCAGTCAGATTTGTTTGTATATTTATTTTGGGTTAGATTTTTTAACCTTTTCATTTTTTGGTCCTTATGTGATCTAGGTGCCTAGTTTTTGTTTTATTGACAATAGAAAAATACCATAATTATATTTTAAGTTTATGGTTATGCTTGTAAATCTTCATTATAAATTTGTATATTTTATATTTTTAATAAAATTAGCGACTTTTTATAAAAAAAATATATATGTAATAGAAACATTAACTGTAAATCATATTTAAATGACACATTAATCGATATTTATTATGTTTAAATATAATTATGATATGATAAAATTTTGGATAAACTACCGTATTCATCATGGAATTATGAATATATTTCTATCTTGATCATGAAATATAAAAAAAATCAATTAAAACACTGACTTTTAAAAAATAACGAATCAAGCTACTTTTAAGTAATAATAATAATAATAACATAGTCGACGATGTGTGTTGTTTTCAGTTGGGACAATAATAATTTCTTTTATTCATAATTATTCGTTCAATTAATTATTTTTAATATTTAATAAATTTAATATTTAAATTTATAAATTCTATTAACCATATCTTAAAACACATCATCATCAACAACAACAGGAGACAGGAGTAACATTATGTTAGTTCAAATGAATCAAAACCCTTCAACATCTTTCATAAAAAAGATATGAACAAATAATAAACGATGATCATGGTCGTTAATATTTAATCCTTTTATGTATTTTATATGTCATCAATTAATTTTGTGGGTATAAAAGTTTTGTAATTGTACTAATCAAAATAAAAATACAAAAATAGGGTGATGATTAAGTGGAATCGGTAGCTTATTTACAAGAAATAAAAACAAGTCATTAATTCATTCTCCCATAAAATATAAATCAGGAATTCCTTGCCCCGTTTTAGTGGGCAAGCGCAAGCTAAATAAACAGAATGCAAAATTATAAAACCCGTAGAGCAGAAATGCAGCATTCCCTCATTTTCCGATTCTCTTCTCCGATCCCATAGTTCCTTCCTTTCCTTATTCTTTTTTTTAACGTTTTAATCTCTTTCTGGAAGTTGAATTGTTGGTCGTGAAAACTCTGGGGTTAGGGTTTTTGAGAGATGGCGCAACAGTCCCTGATCTACTCCTTCGTTGCGCGTGGCACGGTGATCCTCGCCGAGTACACCCAGTTCTCCGGTAATTTCAACACCATCGCCTCTCAATGCCTCCAGAAGCTTCCTGCCAACAATAACAGGTTCACTTATAATTGCGATGGCCACACCTTCAATTACCTCGTTGATAAGGGATTCAGTAAGTTCTTTTTTCTTTTTGGTTACGATCTGGGATCTGAATTTATTATTGGTTTGAGTTTATAAATAAATGATTTGGAATGTTCTAGGTGTATTTATTTGTTTTGGTTTGATCATATGATGATGATTCAAATATCATTGCTGATCTGCAATCCTTTTTTGTTGGTTTATTATGATTTGACATTTCACATTTGCAATCCTTTTTTGTTGGGTTGCAAATTTTTTTATAATATATTTTTTAGCGTAAACTAAAACGTTAATTTTTAATATTTTTAATTGAAAAAATATTATAAAAAAGATAATATTTTCGAAAATATTGTAAAAAAGATAATATTTTACCGAAAAATGTTAAGAAAAAAAAATAATATTTTAGGTTTCGTCCAACTGAAAATATTATTTTTTTTATAACAAAAATTTTCAATTACATGATACAAAAATGTCAATATATTTTTAAAATGTAATTTTTAAAATTACAGAAAAATATATCTAACAAAATGTATTTTTCAAAACTTAAAAATAAACTTGTAGGATCAAAGATGTAATTTAGCTCCCTGAATTAGAAAAATTATTGATGTTAATTTATATAGTGATAACTTCAATGTTAACATTTGTTTATTATTAATGTGGGATTGGAAAGTTAAATAGTATTTCTCTACTATTTTATTCATATAATTTATATTTTTTTATATTCACTTGATCCCTATTTGGTTGAATTTTACTATTAAAATATAATTATATTTGTACAAATTAATATTAAATATTTTTTATATTTTAAAATATTTAAACAATTAATATTATAAATTATGAATCAAATTTGTTAATTTTTAAATGTCTTCAAAATCCAAATATTACAAATTAAAAAGTGGATGACTATTGTATAAATTGATTTAAAAAATTTATTCCTTTTATATAAATTTGAAGTTTTAAAGTTAGTTATCTATTCTCTAATCGATTGAAAAATTACAATTTTTATTTTTATTTTGCAACTTACTTTAATAATGCATTCATGTTAGTATAATCTATTTATTTAATATTTTACATTTTCAACTAGATATATTAATAAAATTTCCTAAACAATTAAAGTATTTATAGTTAAGACTTAAATACTAAAACATTAATCAAGTCAATTACAATAATACTTTGTACAAATATTTAAATGTTATGATATTCAATAATCAATTATTATAATATAATTATTTATTTATTTTTATATATTTTAGGTATGAAGAATAAGCATTAAGAGATCTAATGAATTTAACCTTTAATACATTTTTTTATAAAAATTTAATTTCTTTATATTTTTGTCAATAAAAATTCATATTTTTTTACATAAAATTTGATTCAATTTTTGATGGGGTTTTGTGAAAAATATTATAAAATACAAAATATTTATTTAATTTTAATTTAAATATTATAAAATTTGATTCAAGTTTTGGTGGAGTTTTGATGGAGTTTTGATGGTGGTGCAGCCTACTGTGTAGTTGCTACTGAATCTGCGGGTAGGCAAATTCCAATTGCATTTCTGGAAAGAATTAAGGAAGACTTCTCGAAAAGATATGGTGGAGGGAAAGCTGCAAATGCTAAAGCCAAGTCACTTAATAAAGAATTTGGGTATCGATGCCGTCTATTTCACGTCTCATCTACTCTTGTTCAAAATGATCACCTCTTTATATGTGATAACAGGTCCAAATTGAAGGAGCATATGAAGTACTGTTCGGAACACCCTGAAGAGATTTGCAAACTTGCCAAAGTGAAGGCTCAGGTTTCTGAAGTCAAGGGTGTTATGATGGAAAACATTGAGAAGGTAATAGCGGCTGTTCATTCTGTGTCTATTCTACACGTAGACCGACTTTTAAAACAAAGACAAATTTAAAACTAACCCCCAGCCTCAATGTTTATCAAAATGGTAAGTTTAATCCCTATTCTTTTTTCGGATTAATTTGACATCCAACGTCTCATTTTAGAGCAAAAAGACACATATATTTGATTAAATAACCACTTTGACCCTTATTCCTTTTAGTTTGAAGCATTTTGACACCTCGACGTTTCATTTTAAAGTTAAAACCCCTATTATGGAGCGTTAATCGTCTGTTAACTAGGTTTCCACCCATAAATCCCTAAATGAAACATTAGGTCAAAATACTCCATAAAAAAAGAATAGAAACCAAAATAATTATTTTGATAAACGTTGAGGGTTAATTTTAGTATTATGCCTAAAACAAATGAAAAAAAAAACATTGAGAATGCAATGGAGGCTGCTGATTAAATGTTCTATATGTATGGTTGAGGGTTAAAACTTGATAAGATGAATAGCCAGCTTTGTATAAGTTAACGACTTGCACCGTTGGTTATAATGAAGAAGTAGATAAAATGCCAAGTGTACTTCATATGTCTTACATATGACAATGGCATGTTGTTTTAGTTGGTTGCTATTGCCTTCCCATTTTCCAGGTCCTCGACCGTGGTGAGAAGATCGAGGTGCTGGTGGATAAAACTGACAGCCTTCGTTCACAGGTTAGTCCTATCTCAACTTCATTTTATGGGTGACTGAAGAAACTACAGTAACACTCGTCAATCTAAGTGTCTAATTTGGGTAAACTACGTATTTAGTCACTTGCCTATTTTCACGGTTTCATTTTTTATTATTCATTTTTTTAAATCATATTTAATATTATATTTTAATTCTGTTTTGCTCACTCGCCGTTAAAATGTAAACTGAATTGCTGATGTGATAATTTTTTTTATTTTTTAATTATGACGTGACATTATCGTATGATGACATGTCAGCAGTTTTATTTTTTTTAATGACGGAACGTAACGTTAGGTATGATTAAAAAAATAATTGAGTCACTAAACATAACCGCAAGAATAGATGAATGATTAAATATATAGTTTAACCTTCTAATTTAAGCAATGTAGTCTAACGTGTTCTTTTCATGCATATAACGTGAATGCAACAAATTAATGCTTAGTATATAAATCTTTGTAGCTTTGACACTTCATTTACCTTGAAGTGCTCATACCAGCACCCGTATCTGAATAATGAAAAATTTTAGAAGATGTAAGCATACTAGTGTAGAACATACAGCAATAGATACTCACCTTTTAAATTCGAATTTTTTTCCGATAATTTATTATTTTATCAATTGTTTCCGTTCTAAACTTTTATTTATGTTCATCATGTACAAAAATTTTATATTATTAAAATATTTTTGAACTGAATTGATATTTGGATTGCAGGCACAGGATTTTAAGAAGCAAGGAACAAAGCTTAAACAAAAGATGTGGTATGAGAATATGAAGATGAAATTGATTGTTTTCGGGCTCGTTTTTGCAATATTTCTGGTCATGTTTCTTTCCATCTGCCATGGCTTCAAGTGTACCGAATAAAATGTTGAAAAGGAGGGATCCCTGGGTCCTTACATATTCGATTTGCTCTTTCCAAAAATATTATTAAAATAATTTCGTCATTTCTTCCTGTAAATATTTGTATATTTTGATTTTGATGGAAGAAAAAGAGGTGAACTTCACCATTTTTATCTAAATAAACATCTATTATTACATTCATCACATCTTACTTTTTTTTATGCCTTCTGTAGACATTAATTTTTCACTTTCATTAAAATTAAAATTATTAATTTTATTATTATTATTAATATATATTATTATTATTATTATTATTATTATTATTATTATATAAATAAATTACAAAACTGGAAGCCCGTTTACAAGCCCAAATCCCAGGCCCAACCAGAACCGGCCCAGATCCAAATGGAAACCTTGAATTGATTTGGGGTTTCAGCTAGGGTTTTCAAACCTAGCCCCCAGTCGCCTCCAAGATTCCAGAAGGCCAGCCACCGCCTCTGCTCAGCCGCCACCTCCACGTTGACGCTTCAGCTGCTGCCATGCCGCCGTCATTGCCACGAAGCCACCCTCTTCGAAGACTCCAGAAACACCACGTCGGCCGTCCACGTCGCAGCTATGGGGTGAGTCACCACATAGTTTGGTGACTCACCAGAACTCATCTCTGGGACCGATCCAACGAGAACCTCGGTGGTGGCTATAAAAGCCACCCCACCTGCAAGACAGAACACAGCCACAGAGACCAACGACCAGCAACCAAGAGCCACAAACAACAAAAAAACCAACAAAGAGGAAACAGAAAGAGAGGAGACAGAGAAAACAACCAACGCAACAACAAAGAGAAGGACATCAACCCAGCAAGCATACAACAATCAACAGACAGAAAGCAAGCAAAAACCCGAGAGCAAATACAAACCGAGATAAAAGAAAAAAACCGAGGGACTTACCACCGAGCAGAACTCTAAACGTCGTCGGAAAATCAAAAACCGAAGGTAGTTTTTTAAGATCTACGTAAATCCGGGACTATTTAAAGGAAACGGAGGTCTAAATCGGTTTTAGGTAGTACCGATCTATCTTTTAAAGGGTTTTTTTCTTTTCCGGCCACCGCAGGCGGTGACCGGCGGCGGTGGTCGGCACCGGAGCACGGTTGCCAGCCGGAGCACGGTTGCCGGCCGGAACTCTAATCCCTCTGATGAGGGATTTGAAGAGAGAGGCGAGAGAGAATGTTAAACTCTGTCAGTTAGAGAGAGAAGAGAGAAAGAAGAAATGAGAGAGCTGACCCGAAGGGCCAGCCGTTTGGGGTATTTATACCCGATACAAAACGACGTCGTTTCATGATGAAACGGTGCGTTTTGGGAAGAGGGTAAACCCTGTCCGCAGTGCTCCAAGTTTGTAATCATTACAATTTAGTCACTGAAATTGATTTCTGATTATTTTAGTTTATTCTTCTAATTTTATTTTATTTTAATTTAGTCCTTATCAGCATATATATATATTTAGGGTAAATATTAAATTTAGTCCCTCATAGTATAGTAATTATTATTTCAATTTCGAATTATGAATCAAGGTTAAATTACCATTTTAATGCCTGTCTTTTAAATAATTCGAATTAGAATTTTTTAATCTTTATATTTTAATCACATAATTTTAGTTTTCTTTATTTTGGTCATTGTTTGATTTAATATTATATTTAATTGTATTTGATTTGTATTATTATCCTTTTAATATGTTTAAATTACTACTTAAATTATTATTTTATTATATCAGTCATATAAATATATATATATATATATATATTTTAAATAATAATGTTTATTTATTTTTAATATCAAATAAAAAGACAGTCTTAAAGCAACTAGATGTCCTATTCTGATATTTTAAATAAATATCTTACTTATAAAAACCAGAAAACACATATTGTTTTATTAGAGAAAATTATTATTTTTAAATTTAAATATTAAGAAAGTACAGTCTTAAAGTAACTGGATGTCCATTTTCTAATATTTTTAAATAAAATATTTTACTTTTATCAATTATATATATTAGTAAAAATGTTTTATTAATATTTATTTATCTTTTAATATTAAGAAATGAGCTGTCTTAAAGCACCTAGAAGCCCTTTTCTGATATTTCTAAATAAATAAATATCTTATTAAAATTAATATATTTTCTTAAAATTATAAATTTAAAATAACCGAATTATAAATATATCTTTGAATTCTTAAAATTCTAATAATAGAGACAATGTATAATTAAAAAGTACCAATTTTGGGCGTTGTAGGGGTGCTAATCCTTCCCTAAACGTAACCGACCACGAATCCCTTTTTATTTCTAAAAAGAACGAAATTTTGGTTAAACGCATATCAGTTTATCTTTTAATCGATGTTTTCTTAAAAACTCTTTAAAGGATGATTTTTAGGTATTCGACCTACCTGACCCAAAAGGCCGATGGCGACTCCCAATTTATTTTAAAAAACCATTTATTCAGATTATTTTTCCCACCAGGTAAAAATTTGTGCCCAGACGAAAACCGGTTACGACAGCTTGGCGACTCCGCTGGGGATCTGTCAAACTTTAAAATTAATTATAAATTGTCTCTATTAATTAGAAATTAAAAATTCATTTATTTAATTTTTAATTATTTTCTTTCAAAATTTTATGATTTTCATAATATTTTATTATATTTTTTTTTTCAGATATTAAATTTTTCATTTAATTATTTGTCAAAGGTTTGAATATTTCTCCTCACACACAACATTTGCATTGCATAACATAAGCTTTTTAATCAAGCTTGTCCCTTTTAAGTGGGAGTGAAAGCGACGTCTTCGTGAGAATTTATTCTCCGTGTCAGACCTAGCAAGTAGCTTTCGGGGTTCATATGCTCTATGTCTTCATGAGAATTTATTCTCTGTGTCAGGCATAGGGAAATGTATCTCCTCGAATTGAACTCGATCCACTTAAGTTTGTAATGGACTAGGATTGAGGGTTTGATAGCCTAAGGGGGCATCAACAGGGACAGTTCGAGTACCTTTACCCTTAGAACCAAAACCCTGCATATAATGAATCCTAGAAATTCTCCTGATCTAAGACAGTACTGAACCTCTGTCTGTAAGTGTACACAAATGATAAATAAGCTTTAGCTTTTAATTTATTATTTTCCTCTCTGAATAAATGAAGGTGAACTAGAAATCATGCGGTTAGGTTAAATTTTCCAAATAAAAGCATGGAACTAGAAAGCATGAGGTTAAGATTTATACCTTGATAGATATTTTTTTTCCATTAGTTGGTACTAACTATTCAATTTTTTTTATTTTTTCATGCATGTTAAATTGCTCTAAACTTGTTTATATTGATTTCTTTTGTTTGCATTGCACGATCATGGCATAATCATAAGGTGTTGACTTGAAAGAATGTTCATCAAATTGGAAAGAAATCGTAAATGGACCAAAAGTTTTATGATCAAACAAAATATGACGCGGCCAAGGAATCGCATCCTAGGGAACTTTGAGGATAGAAGAGAGCTATGCACCTAAAGATCATGTGTCCATTAAGGAGCAAGAGGAGATACGAGAAATAAGAGAGCATATGTCCAAGATGATGGAAAGAATATATGTTTTAACCAAAGGAAAAGAGATTCATGCACAAAAAGATGTAGAGATCAATAAACATAATCTTGCAATTTCAGATATGCAAGGGACTTCTGATCCTAATCAATTGGAAAAGTTACAGAAAATCATCATTCATATTCACAAGTCATCTGGAGATACCAAAGAAATGGTGACAACTGTAAAAATTCCCAGAGATGAGAATAAATCATGTAATCTGAAGTCGTCAAAGTTTAGTCTGCTCCTGACATCTAAAAATCAGGTTCAATCCAAGACAAAAGGCGGTTCTTATTTTGATATTATCCCTATATCATATAAGGAGTTATATGAAAAGCTACTTGAAGCGCAAGAAGTGGCCCCGTACTATATAAAACCGTTCCAACCTCCATATCCGAATTGGTATGGCATCAACATTTATTGTGAATATCATGCCGGAGCTCAAGGACATACTATTGAGAATTGTCTTGCCTTCAAACGTCGATTCCAAAGTCTTTTGGATCATGGTACCTTACAATTTATGGTAAATGATCGACCTAGTTTGGTAACCGAAGGTCCTGCTAGATTAATACCAAAAGTCTTCAAAGGTAAGAGTATCAGTAGGGGCACCCAGAGAGAAGAAGATTTGCTGAGGTTTGAAGCTCAAATACGTCATTTGAAGATTGAAAACGATAAATTGAGCACCAAAATGGAAACCATACAGGAAGATTTCCAGAAGGTCAGTCAAGCCTTTCAAAATGCTGGCATAGGAAACACCCCAGAAGAGTGGATAACAGGGATCACCAAACTGAAAAAGAACTGTAACATATATGAAGGTCGAGCCAAGAAGTTTTATCATAATTCACGAGTTGCAGAAGAAAGACGCAATGCATCTATCAGTGAATTGAAAAGATGTCAAGCCAAAAATCAAAGGTTGAATAGTGCTATGACCAATAGGGAAGCATCATATCAGATCTATCAGCATGAGATTGATACTGAATTAGAAGCCACTATAGACAAGAACAAGACATTGAAGAAATGTTTAGATGATTATGGAGATCTTGTACGAGAACTTTTTGAACACAAAGATTCTCTCACAAGAAAAAATGAACAACATTGTTTACAACTTCGAGAATTGACACAAATGATGAAGGAAAAAGACAATGTCATGAATGAAGCTGCTGCTCAAGCAAACATGTGGCTCATAAGCTGGTGGACTTGCTGGCTTCATGAGAATTAAAGCAGATGGATACTCCACACCTGAGTATGAGTGGAAGTTAGTTTGGCTTTTAAGTGAAATAGAGAAATTAGGAGTGAAAGTTATTCCCTACATGTAAAAGTTTTGTTTGATGTACCGAAACTTTTGTGTTCAATGAAATCTGTTCTAAGATGATCACTCTTGAGTAAACACCTTTTCATATATGCATTTTCATTTTGCATCTTTGCATCTTTGCA